CCCCAAAACCCCAAAACCCCAAAACCCCAAGAGCAAACTTTAAAACTATTTTTATCAATATCATTATTTTATAGTAATAAATTAATAATATGGATCAAAAGGATAAAGATAGAAATAAAAGTGGTGATATTGAGAAACTCTAAAATCTTAATTGGCAATTACTAAAACACATGAGTTTTGGTTAAATTGGAGAAGTTACTAGATATGAACTCAACTAAATTAATTCAAATTTACAAGACAGCTACAAGGACAAGACTTAATAAAAGAGTAATTTTGAGAAAACCCCACCATTTTTACCATTTTAATTCAAGCAAGTACTTGATAGTTAAGCTATAAAAGATTTACAGAACTCTATAAAAATAGGAAATAATAGATTCCTCGATTATCTCTAACCTTTGAGTATTGGAAAATTGAAATATAGTAAGCCTGTAGCTATTATATACAACCCAAACTCCGGTAAAAAGAAAGATATTAAGAAGTACATAATGGACAAATTCAATAGAAACAATATAAAATTTGAAATTTTAGAATCAAAGAAAGCTTTTGATACTTTTACAATACCCTTTAAAATCGATATTGAAAATTATTCTGCAATTGTTGCTGTTGGTGGAGATGGGACATTCCATGAAGTTGTAAATGGAATGTTGAATAGAGTGGACAAGTAAAAGTTGCCGATAGCATTCGTAGGTAATGGCTCTGGAAATGATACCTTGAGATAATTTGGAGTTTTAGATATTGATTAAGCACTCAATTTTATTGTAAAAGGAGATCTGCTAAAGTATGATGTCGTTAAGATTCTTATAGATTATTAAAATGAAAAAGACATTCCAGACAATGCTTTATACAATCATCATAGATACTCAATCATTAACACAGTTATAGGATTAATGGCTAAAATAAATCATAATGCTTAAAACTATAAACAATGGCCCCTAATTAATCCTTACCAAATCTCGGCATTTGTTGAATTAACAAGACTTAAGCCAGATAAGATCAGCTTAGAAGTTGATGGAAAAACGGTTTAGGAGGATTTAGATACTCTAGTTTTAGGAGTAAATAATTCCAAATATGGAGGATCTGGGATGGTGCTTTCTCCTTATAGCTTTATGAACGATGGCATGTAGGATGCATATGTGCATACATAAATGTTAGGAGTATTAAAGATTTTAGATTTGATTGACTAGTTGAATAAGTATCAAGGCATGCATGTTTATGAAAAGGATGCGAAGTTTTACAGAGGTAAAAACATCAAAGTATATAACAGAAGTGAGAAAGTTTACTCCTGGTAGAGTCACAAGTTTGAGAGATAATTGCAAAGAATTGCTATTGATGGAGAGAATTTTGCTTACAAAGATTTTGTGCAATATGAAACATTGCCAGGTGAAATTGATGTTATTGTAGATTATGAGTTTTTGTTGAAAAAATTTGAATGGTTTTCCCCAAAGTTGTGAACAGTTTTGATTAAGATTAATGAGGAAAATTATTCATTAAACGTTTTAATTTTTATTCTATTAATTTGGCTGAAATCTTATTTATCAAGCATCATGGGGTTTTGGGGTTTTGGGGTTTTGGGG